TTAAGGCCGGTTTAGACGGTACGATTTTCGCCTACAACTATCGCGCCAACCTACAACTCGAGTCGTAGCGTGTAAATCAAGCCTACGACTCGCCTACGACAGACGCGAGCGTGTCATGTATACGATAGTTGTAGGCGAAAATCGTACCGTCTAAACCGGCCTTTAGAAATACCAGAGATCCCAATGTTTCAGGTTAATATTCTTTCTTACTCTAATTTGTATTATAAAAAGCCAGATCAGTTTAGAATATTTCATCTTTTAATGTTAATTTACATTTCCTTAATACTTGTATCTAACGCTATATAGTATGTTTTTATATACATACACACACTAAAACGTGTTAAGTAATCCCTCCCATTCGAACTAGTGTCATGGCATAAAATGGAAAATGTTAAAAATGACATTGAACATCATATTTGAATCTTTAAGATTTTCCACTGAACTAGAAATTTCTAAAGTTATCAAAAACCAGCTTGTTTCAGTGTAATTTTCCACCCTCTCCAACGGCTCGTGAGACTTTTTGGAAAATAAGAAAATGATACGTTGGATTTTGACAACTTCAAGAACTTGATAACTCTAATCGTCTGCCTGAGTATTCTTTTGTGAGCAAACGTTTTGTTTCTTTAGGTAAAACAGCTAACCACCAACACCAAAAAGAAAAAGAAAAAGAAAGAAAAAAGTTTATTTTCATAGTGCAAAACGTTTTTCTTTTCGAGATAAAGCTTCAGAATTTTTTTTGAGCTTACTAGGCAGAAACTTCAAACGGAGCTTTGAGATAGAATGTCGTCTAAAAGCTTAATGCGGTGAGAGGCTAAGATTACAACCCTTACCAAAGGAACCATAAGGAAATACCAAAAACAGCATTAAACATCTTCATAAAATGACAATCAATCCAAAGACTCGTTGATAGGACACAGGAATCCCATAAAGGGGTTTTGAAGATGGAATAATTTGAGAACTTTAATTTATTAGTGTTTCTTGGCGTGCTTCTTGAGAAGATGCTTTCTTAGCTTCTGAACATCTTCTTTGTTTGGTTTTGGGGCGTGATGACGTTTCCCATAGGGTGAATAATATGCGGTCTGGCAGCATGCTGGGGAGCATGTTGGTGCACATGCAGGACTGCATGGACCGGGACACTGTGGTGGTGGTGGTGGAGGTGGTGGGGGAGGTAGCATCACGGGTGGGGGCTGATACTGGCCACAGCATAGAGAAGAGCAGCTTGGTGCACATACTGTTGGGCATGGGTAGGAACACACCATGGGAACTGGAGTGTTCACGAAACAACCTGTAATAAGAAGATCGGACAATTTGTTCATGTAGTATTATTGGTTTTTCCTGCCATTTTGCGAACTCGTTAGTTGGAGTTGCACACTGAAATTCGCTTTTTCGCTGCCGTCACATTTTTGACCGGCGGCAGCGAAAAACAAACGCTTGGAGCTGTAGAGCGCAAGCTTGGAAACACGAGGTGTAGCCGAGAGCCAATCGGAACGCGTTATATCTCAAAAACGCTTCTATATGTTAAAAAAAGGAGATCCTTTCTAGGAGACTCCCCTTTAAAATGTAGTCATAAGGTAACCTTTTCTCGTATTTGGCAATCCATTAATTAATATTGATTGACATTATTTTAGGACTGGCGTACCTGCTTTGACTAAAGTTGGCTGGACTGTCAGAACTCCAAGTTTTCCCTTTGCTAGTGCGGCTATCAGATTCTTAAGGTGAGTTCCATTTCCTTTAAACTCAAGGTAGAAATGCGCTAGGACTTTGCCGTCGGCGGATTTTCTAAGATATCAAACGATTTAGATTAGTATCTGAGTATTTGCCATTATCCTCGGGTAATGCTGTTGGGTTAAAGTAATCAGGGAAGCTAAAAATAATCATTTATTATCATAAAGGTTTATAGTTCATTAAAGATCAAAAATTATACGCTGGACTATATTTCACCTCCTTTTTAAGTTAAGAGGCTTACGATGCTTTTTTTAACGAAAAGAAAAGTTTGAAGCTTAAAAAAGGGGAGGAGAGAAAAATCAAATATTCTTTCCCGGTCCATTATCCTAAAAATTGAGCGTTATGATTATTGGCTGTTGGAGCGGGCGGCATCTTCTATCTTTGACCACAGTTCGGTATTTTGGCTGCTCACTTAAATCCGTACGCGCGTGGGTGCGCACGCATGGGATAATGAATGGACATCTGATCTTTAAAGGTAACTGTGCCTGTGGCGAGGCGAGACAAACGGTGGGCTTGCCATGATAGAGACGTTAATAATAGTCCAAGGTTTTAATAATGATAATAATAATAATAATAATAATAATATGATATTTTATATAGCGTCAATATCCAGACGTTCAACAACGCTTTACATTTTCTATAACATTCTCAATAATAGAATTAAAAATTAAAATTTAGAAAAATACTATTTATTGATCAATACAATCTTCACTTCTAGGGCGGATCCATGGAACGTTCAGTTTGTTATGCCTATAAACCCCCTTTCCCGCCCTAGATTCCTTTTAAAAATGTTAGGAAAATGGTTGTTTTCTAAAATCGGGGAGCGAGGTGAATTTTCGATCCAAAACGCGCGTGCTCACTTCTCCAACTCTGTTCTCTCGCTAAGCTACTGAAATAGGACCTCTATGAGTATAAGATCGACATTTATTCGTTGGGTGTAAACCTAAAGCCCAAAATCATAGATCCTTTCATGCCTGTAGTTTTGCATTCTTTCTTCAAATAAGGAAGTCGCAAGTTAAAAAGTTAAAAAGACAAACTCTCAAAATTTGGAGTTCTTTGTAAATCCTATTACGTCATGTTCTTCATAAGTTCTACTTTGTTTGGTTAACTGATTTCCGTCCTAATCTTTGACTTACGTAAATTGATGCACTTTAAGAGCCTGGAAAGGTTTATATCCATCGAATGCTTGGTGGATCTGTAAAATAAGAACAAGGGCATAAGGACTACATAATAAATTATTCGAAGTAAAAATATATATTATGAAGCCATTTATCATAAGGTAGACAGTAAATAAGACGGATCAAAAAATTGCAGACATAGATACATTCCCCTCAATCAGTATTCTAGACGTTTCCGCTGATATATACATACTTCAAAAACAAAAAGAAAGGACTGCAAAGGCGATAGACAATAGGCGACAAGTGGTAGGAAATAGATTATTCCAACATCCAAGTTTGTTTCCTATTATTAATTTTTCTTGTATATTGTTGAGATATTTAGTGTTGTTTATTCGACGACACCATTTTAGAAACCTCGTTTATTCATGTTTAAATGTATAGCTATAATTCTTTTCCGTTTTGGAATGACCTATCACTTATCGCCTATCTCCTTTGCCTCGTGACGTTTTTTTTAAAGGTGTATACTTTTTACAAAGAAGGATTTTGGATCCATAAAGGCAAAAGGCGATTAGATCTTATAATCTCAAATCTTATGATCTTATAATCAAATCTTATAATCTCAAGTCATATGGTCTACGTTCTTTCTCAGTTGCTGCTTCGCTCCTCTGGAACTCTCTACCTTCTTCAATTAGAGATATTTCCAGTTTATCTTTATTTAAATCTAAACTCAAGACTCATTTATTTAAGTTAGATTTTTCTTTATAATCATATTATCTATCTTATTTATTTATTCCTTTAATGTTATGTTACTAAGCGCTTAAAACAGACTTGTATAAGCGCTATATAAGCCATATATATTATATATATATATATATATATATATATGTTATTAGACAGAAAACATAGGTAATTCCAAGACCCAAAAATAGCTGGAATGACTGGAGTTTTGATTACTATGCACGTCATGTCCCTGTTTTCTTAAGTTGTAAGCCCTTAATTTATTCAAAGAAAAGACCTATTGCGTATTTCATATGGCTCCGACCTTTTAATTCTAAATAATAGATGTATACACTCAATTGAAGAATCTTTGTCGGGTCCAGAAATAGAACATAGAAGCTGAGACCGAAATGGCACATGGGAAGTACGTTAATTAGATGCATGCTGTGACCGGCGACCCGTGGCATCATCCACTGTTTTTAATACGCGTTTGGCATTCTAAACCGACTGCATGGATGGCGCAATTGAATAATTTATAATATAATTGTGTCATTTCCCATGTGCCATTTCGATCTCAGCTTTTATGTTTTGTTTCTGAGCCCGACAACGATTCTTCAATTGAGTGTCTTGAAAACGGTATGCAACGAAGATCTATAGTATACAGTCAATTCAAAAAATGTTGTCGTCGAGCAACTCAAGCCTACGCGACTGGACCGAAAGGAACTCTGGGTAGTAATCATTGAAGCCGAGTTGACTGCATAATTTTATCTGACTAGTTATGCCTGGTTTACAGCACGAACGTTCGTAGGCGAGCGGGAAGTGTTGAAGGAGACGTTTTTTAAATGCCTTCATATATTCGAAATTGTGAACTAAATCATAAGTACTTTGTTTTTGTTTCCTTAAACCCAAAGACATGCATTTGATGGATTGTTTCTTGCCATTATTATCTTATTTCTAGCGGGAACAATTTATTCAGAACGAATATTTAAACCGCTTCAGTGATTTTTACCCATATTTCTTTCGGTCCAGTCGCGTAGGCTTGAGCCGGTCGACGACAACGTTTCTTGAATTGACTGTATTTATAATGATAATTGTGATAGAGAGAAAGATGCTTTGAAGTAAAAATAGCTGAGGCATGATCACGTGACGTGCTTTTCTTTTCTTTTTTCTTAATTTTTGTTCTTCTATAATCATTTTACAGCAAACAATTCGACATTCAAGATTGAACTTAAAAAAAGACAGATTTGCCCAATGGATGAATCAGGGTTTTAAAATATATCCACCATTGCATATCCAGAACAATTTCAAGGGGGGTGAGTGGCATCACATAGGTTTTAACTTATTCTTTATTCCTATTATATTTGAACTTCCAGGGGGTAGCTAGCCATCCACTCCACTCCCCTGGATCGGCCCTTCGTACAGTAGAGAGATAACTCTCTTTTGGTGTTATTATTGTTTGCTTAAGTTCCGTGCAGAAGTTCACGTTCACCACGACAGGACTCTAAAAAAACCTATCATTAATCATCATACCCACGCTACGCTCTTGCAAGTGCAGTTTTTCAAAAGTAGACAAATACATTTAAAAGCTCATCATTTTTACGTTGAAATAAATAAAAAAACGAAATACTTCAGATTTTCCAATGGTCCTTAAGTTTTGAGATAATTTTTTGGAAAAACTATTTATAATTACTTAAATTAGTAAGTGATCAGTGGAATTCCACACAAGAGTGATTAATAATACATTTGTTTGTTAGAATATTATATTTTTCGTCAAGTAAGCTATTGCTACGCCCACAAGGGCACTCATTAACTTATTCTTGTGATGCACCCTTTAGATTTATGACAAGCCAAACATGCAATTTTTTAATGAAATGTCTAAAAAACCTCATTACTTCTTCAGGTCAAAGCCTTTTTATGAAACGTCATTGCGTCTTTAGATCGTAACGTAAAGATGTGTTTTCTATACTTATTAGCCATATTTCTTTCAAATTTCTTATATTTCATATCCCCCCACCCCGACGAAATCAGAATACTCGAAAAATCTTATTATTTTTAGTCAATAATAATACTAATGATAAAAATAAGTTAGTGAGTGCCCTTGTGGGCGTAGCTATAACTTACTTGACGAAAAATATGATATCCTAACAAAAACATTTATTATTGATAACTCTTGTGTGGAATTCCACTGATGACTTACTAATTTAAGTAATTCATAATTTATGAGGGGGCTACCATTTTTTCCTGGCAAAACTTTAGGGGGTGGGCTATCAAAAAATGGGGGTTATGTTATATATATATTGAATATATTCACTCAACTTTTCTGTGTTGGGGAAAGGGGGGGTATATAGATATGACGTTTCTAAAAAGGATCTACCACTATAAGATGATAAAATCCACAACTTCCCCAAACCCATAAATTATGAACGTTCGATTAGTGATTTACTTACTCCAGCTTCAAGCTCTATTCTTGTGTTGGTGAAGTCTTTTGAGTGCACGTTTTGAAAATCTTCGCTAAAGCTGGTGTTTGTCAGTTTGATAGTAATGTTAAATACACGACCTAAAACAAGAAATAGAATGAGATAATAATATTATTTATTAGTATTCTTAGATATATTTGGTTTGTTGGCAGTCTTTTTGTTTTACTTGTCACTCCTTCGCTCATTCGCTTGACCGATCATTCGGATTTGTTTGTTGTCGTTCGTTTGTTTTAAATCTTAAACTGTATCCCAATAACCCAAAATCCATGCTACAAAAATATTAAGAACACATATAAGTCAGTTTCAATCGTCTCCTTTATAGGAAGCCACAAATAAACTGGCCTTCAGTAATGTCGCACTCGTTAAGAAGAGCTGCCAAAACAAACAATGCTTTTCATTGTCCACTCGTTTTTGTTTTGTTTATTTTGTTTCTGTTGTATCCAATAGAGCGCTTTCCCTCAGTCCCTAGAGAGTTAACTGCAGTTAAGAAGAGTTATATTGGTGTACCTAACAAAAGCAACTAATAATGACAAAGTTAAAAGTAGAAAAGCACATTTAAAAGCTCATCATTTTTACGTTGAAATAAATAAAAAAACGAAATACTTCAGATTTTCCAATGGTCCTTAAATTTTGAGATCTTTTTTTTTTTTTTGGAAAAATTATTTATAATTAGTAAGTCATCTCAAAGTAAAAGTAATCTCACTTTACTTTACCATCACTGATGGTGGCAGTCGAACCTGCCGAATCATGTATGATTTAAAACCGCCAAATATCAAATGTGTCGTTGTTTGCTTAAAACTAATGACAAAGTTATTGTCARAGGTACACCAATGTGGCGGCTGTGACGTCATGTGAAAACGCTCTATTAGATTAGTTACTCTTAGAGCTGCGACCTTGACTGTGACCTTGGTGTTGAGGCTGGTCGAGCAACAGGTCGCGACAAAACTACACGATAACGAGATTTGAGCATTTGATCATATTCACATGCGAATTCGCGCCATATAAGTATTAAATTATTAATGATATTATATTATTAGAAGATAATTAATCATATTAGTAATCACTGACGTTCGAAAAATAAAGAGGAGGATGAAAATTCCTTGCTATTTGTTAATAACATATTTGTTCCAAATCGCTGCAATACACTTTATTGCACATGCTCGAAATTGTTTGTTGTTGGCCTTTTGTTTTCATAGTTTTTATACACGTAAAATGGTTTGATAAACATTCTGAGAGCTAAATAGGAATCACAGCAAGAAATACGCCCAGCCTTATAAGAGACCAATTTACCTTGGGACTAATGTTTTCCCATTTCAGCCCACGTGTCATTCCCTAGAGTATCATTTCATTGTTTAACGTTTGCACACGAGAAGACACATGAATACGGATACATCTCAAACGAAGAATCTTAATGTTCAAGAGAATACCACTTGGTCTTAAATGAGAAAACATTACGCCCAATGTAAAGAGGTCTATTCAAAAATCAGTATTTGTGTAAGAAAGAGTGAGATCATGCCTTTGAAATGAGAGTTAATCAAGTATTTTTCTGATGTATTTGAAAAGCCAAGAGAACAATGTCCCGACGTCATAAAAGGCACTAAATTTACGTTGTTTTTGAACTGAGATATTTTGGTCCAAAACGGGCAAAAAAAAAACAAGAAATGACCTTGTGTGGGATGTGTCTTTTCTCCAATTGGAACTGAAACACTAAAATTCCAAATTGAACTGTGAGTTAGCCATGCCCTGACTTTAATCAGCCCAGAAGTTGTTTCGAGGTTCGGTATGTGAGCTAGCCGTGCCCTGACTTAGATCAGCCCAGAGGTTGTTTCAGGGTTCAATCTGTGAGTTAGTCGTGCCCAGACTTAGATCAGCCCAGAGGTTGTTTCAGGGTTCAATGCTGTGAGTTAGTCGTGCCCTGACTTAGATCAGCCCAGAGGTTGTTTCAGGGTTCAATCTGTGAGTTAGTCGTGCCCTGACTTAGATCAGCCCAGAGGTTGTTTCAGGGTATCAATAAAATTTGAAGGTTTGAAAGTTAGTTTTGGCATATATATGAATCAAGTTACTCGTTGTCATTCAATATGAACCTGTATTTCATGAATATCTGCACATCACAAGCAATTATGGTATTATATATAGATAGTTATAGCATAGTAAAATAGCATGGTATAGTATAATATGGTTTAGGTGAATGCGTATATTGAATTTCTTATTTTCAAGTGATTTGCCAGTGTTTCCCACGAAACTATGTAGAGAAATGATTTTTGCCTATCTCGAATATAAAATGTGATATTTCAATAACAACAAGTTGGACACAATTAAAAAAAGTTATTTTCCAATTTGTTTTCCATAACACTTGAAATAACACTATCGTACTTAAAATATCATCAAAAACCATGCTGAGTTTTATTAGCATTTTGATGAGAACCTCATTAGCATTAAACAAATTTCAAGCTACAAGCAAACAGACTCCAGAAATCCAGTAATTTTTTTTGAAAGCGGTATGATTTACAAAGAAATGTATGGTCGTGTGACAAGACGTTCCATACACAACCATACATTTCTTTTTAATTTATTGTGTTTTCAAAAACAATTTCCTCCCAAAATATTGAGCATACTACTCTCAAATTTTCAGTAGTCACTAATAAATAAGACATTATCTTTCGATTTCTGGACTCGGTTTGCTTGTTGCTTGAAATTTTCTTGATGCCAATGAGGAAAAAACGTAAATAAAGATCTAAGCCTATACTAATCAGACTAAACAACTAAAGACGATTGATTGATCTTTGAGATACTGTCTCTTTACAGTGGGACAACGAAACCAAATCATACTGATGACTAATAAGCCTTTTTTCAGATATTTCTGAATTAGTAAAACAGAAAAAGAATTACAATAGCTGAAAAGAGCAGGTTAAATTCAGTAAAACTGCGAAGTTTGAAGGAGGTAAGTTCAAAGCGTGCGAGGGTATAAATTTTGGAAAGTGTCAATTTTGTAAGTTAACCTTTGCTGGAGGCAAGAGATGCCTCTAACGAATGTTTCAGTTTTTGAAAATTCATATATCTTCGCCAGTTTTTGAACTTACTTCCTCCAAACTTACAATTTTAGTAATTTTATCTTTCTCTTTCACTGGTTATGGTAATTCTTCTGTCCTGGGAGATTTCGAATTACATTGATGATGAAAGCTCATTTGCCGATGTTTTGGAAGACATAAGAATTGTTTACGAAAGAGAAATTTTAAGTGGGAATGAGAATAACGAACACATGTATTGACTTACTTATCTATCGTCAGTTGACCCGGAAGAGATCCGATTGGAAAAAAAGCGGGGATTCTCGTTGTACCTTTTAGAATTTCAGAGCTACAAATTGGTACCTTTTAAGGTATCATATCTTAAAGGATCATCATTTAAGAGTAAACTGGTATCTCTTAGGACCGGTGTTTTCCAGGTAATATAAAGACCTGACATTATAAAATGACAGCAAGAGTGGCAGTTCTAATTCAGAATATAGTTTTATTTTTGGTTTATCATCTGACTTCTGTTACTTAGATCATATAGGATTAGTATCTTTTTAGAGGTAAAAATCATTAGTTGCCACGACCACCTTGATAAGTCTCAGGTACCTTTTCGGAGTCATTGTCAAAATTTCCGACAAGCATTCCCGCCCTTGTATACACCTTTTTCAAAAATCGTCGTCATCGCCAAAGGCGATAGGGGATAGGTAATTCTTACATGGAAATGATTTCGTTGAAAAAAGAACCTTGAATCAGTCTCAACACTAAGGTCCATGTTCTTGACGAGAATAAGTAGCAGAAACACAAGTCATTCTTGCTCAGTATTCTTGGATCTCGAAATGACCTATCTCCTATCGCTTTTTGCCTATCGACTATAACTGCCTTTGACAATGACAACGTTTTTGAATACCCCAGGGTCAGTTGGTTTAACAGCCTCCCGAAGCGACAGCACTCGCGATACTGTGAACGTTCACAGGCTGCAGCGGTGCTATCTGCAATAACTTTTTTCTCCAGTAACTTGACATTGAAGCGCCTCATTGAAGCTCAGAATGTACTTACCTTTGCCGTAAACAAAGTTTTTTTTTATTCCCATGGCAACAAATGTAAACACGGCTGAGCGTGGGAAAAGGGTATAGATAGAGAAAGTGGATATTTTGTTTAAATGACTAGAAGCAAGTTTGGTCCGAATGGTGCGTTTATTTTTGTGGTTTTGCTATTATGTGTGTCTGTCGGTTATCTTTGTTTTTCTTTGTTTTATTTTTATTTTCGCTTCCTGAGTAATATTCAAATCAGTGATTACTCTTATCATAGCGTGAATAGGAAGTGTCGACGTTAAACCAGGAATAGTTTCTATATATAGATCGTGCTGCTACTATGTACGCCTCCATATATCCTTTTACTGAATGAACTATTTTCACAAGGAATACCGTTCACCGTCATCGACAGCAAAAAAGAAGGAAAAAACATGGTTGTTTTCAGAGAAAATAAGTTTTTTTTATAATGAACAAAGAAAAATGAAAAACGTGTAAGGACACGTTATAAACATGAACAACATTCAAATATAAACAAACGAAAAATCGTAGTCTTTTAAGCACTTTTATTGCAAAAAACTAACACACATTATATAAGCAAAGACATTGACCTCTGCAGTTCATTACATGATAGACGAGGTTGAAATAAAAAGTACTTCTTAGTCTCACGACAAGAAAAAATATTATAATAAAATCAAACTTACATTTCAGCTGTCCAGGGGGGACCGTGGGCTTTGGCGTAGGCTTGGTAGAATTTTTTGCCTTTGCTGGTGTCTGAGCGACTGAAAAATAAACACATAATTATTAGAAAAAAATAAGCATTTCATTATGTGTTCTTTCGTCCAATCGTATCACTATCACGTGACTTCATTATGAATTATGCAATGTAACTTAAGCGTTTTGGTTCATAAGTTCCTTTCATATCCTAGTAGAGCCTTGAGCCGACCAGACGTGATATAATCATATGGTACTGAGACGCCTCGAAGCAAGAGCTGTTTGGATCTTCATTTAAAAAGGTAAATAATCCGATCATTGACTCTTCGCCAGGTTTGAATGTTGCTTGATAGAGACTTTCTTCGTACAGACAGTTTTCTGAAATTTTGGCAATCCCAACTTCAATATCGCTTTTTATTCACAAGTTAACTCTTCCTCGAACACAATATAACCTGTTTATACAACTACGTACACCCTTGTCGAATCGTTTGCTTTCCCTTGGACGTTTGTGTAATTGCAATAAAACGACTAATGATCTAAAATTAAAACATATCCATAAACTCAAATTAAATTAAAACATTGACTTAATTATAAAATGGTTTCAAAGATTTTGTTCTACGTAATCGTTATTGTAGTGAACTACCCTGATATCTTGAAAAACCTAATAACGACCTTAAAATTTTTAAATACTTTGAAAATAATAAAATGAACAATAATGATGGCAATAATGATGATAGTTATTGATCAGTGTAATGATGATGTTCAGGAGAAATAATCCTGTTGTAGTGGTTCTGCATTAGCCTCTCATACATCTGTGGGGCGGTCTCGAGTTCCGATCAGCATCACTTGTGAGTTTGTTAGCTTTCTCCCTTGATCATGATTCGAGGTTTTTTCTCCGGGCTCTCCGGTTTTCCTCCCTCCATAAATACCAACAATCTAAATTCAAATTCGATCGGGGAGTTATTCATGTCCTGCCTTTGATCGTCCCTGAAGTTGTTTGGGGGGTAGCGATACGATTTGAAATTCGTGAAAGTTAGTAAATATTTCGTTCCATAGTGTACGTTTTTATCCTTGCTATTACAGAATTATTTACTTTCAATGAATACTAAGTTGAACTTAGCGCCCATCGGATTGAATTAGCTATAATCTTAAATCTGTTACAATTTAATGCAGTCTAGTAACTTGCATACATGATATCAATAATAATAATAATTATTAGAGCGAGCCTCACGGAAGATCTTATGTACAGTATACTTGGTCATAATAATAATAATAATANATAATAATAATAATAATAATAATAATAATAATAATATCATTAGTCTTAATTAATAATAAATCCTTTCTTATTAAAGTCGCCGACCTGTGAACAACTCTTTTAATTTGTCATTTCTTCAAATTTAAATATAAGCTTCCTTTAAGCTTTCTGCTAACAGAATGTTATTCAGGTTATTTTTCTGTTTACTTCAGAATGTATGTTTGTATAGAGACGAGTATATTAACAAGGCACTTATGACCACTATCTGCTTTTAATATTTGATGCCAAGATGGGAGTCCATTAACATAAGAGTTCATTAGGAAGCACGCAATGTAAGAATGTTTTCGTCTTCCTTTTTTTCTCGTTTTCCAGAAAAATAATATCTCATGTCATTACGTATCCTTATTGAGCCTTGATTTAAACAGCTTTTCTGGTTATGCCCACTCAATTAATTCTTTGCGTGTAAAACCTTCTTTTATTGTTTTTCTTTAATATTTATTGGTCTTTGCTTTAAAAAGCCTTATTCTCGTTAGCTACGCAATCAGACGCAACTCCATGTTCTCACTATGAAAAAAAGCGACGTAAGCGCAAGAGGGCGGACGTTTTTCTAATAGCCTTGCGCTTGTTCTTATGCTTGTGTCGGCTTGGGTCGCCACTTAGAACCTGGCTTCAATGCCAGTTATCTATTTCTTCCTAGCTTTTTCTACTATATTTAATTTTTTGAACGTTACATCTTTTACCACGAGGTTTTTTGTTGTAGTTTTTTTTTTTCGACTTCCTGTCGTGTATTAAAGCAAAAAGAAGCATGATAAAAACAACGAATAAAACATATGGAAAACAGGCTCTAAAATCCGAAGAATTGATTGAGAGGAAAGATCTGGTCAACCAAACTATTTGGAAGAGATCATAGTATTCGAAAGAGATGCTGTCAAATTGCTTGATTTCAGCAGACATCATTTTCTAATGATTGTGAATCACTGAGTCTTGAATTTTAAGTATCCAATATTTCTTTTTTCTGGCTGACAGCACATGTGGTGGTCAGTATTTGATCACCATTTGGAGCAGAAAATTAGATTCAAAGTATTATATCTGCTGGTTGAAGCCCATCAATTAGTCTATTAGTTTGTTTACCTCGTTTGCTGAGGGGCGCCATCCACACTGTTGATAATTATCAACCAAAAAAAAAAAAAGGCTTGAAGTACCCTATTTTTCTTAATCTTGAGATAACTAATTAAAAGTACTGAGCAACCTCAAATGAATAACTCTTCAGATAAGAAAAAGAGTTTGTATTCTCTATTTGTGATGTAAATTAGGAGAAAGAAAAGATTTCTCCACACAGGTAATCGACTCATCATCATCATGTCAAGTCTCCTCTGGCGTCATGGTGGGCAAGCCATCATGGATTCCTTTCTATGGATTATATACAGGCAGGGGACGCCATACCTCTCTGACCGAAAGATCCATAATAATTTCATTATTACCTCCACTTTGACGAAATGTGATCTTAAACATTGTACATATACATGTACCGTAACGTGTTTGAAAGCACAGTCACAGATGGCCGAGGATAAGTGGTTTATATAATACATTTTAGAGTAGATATCTTTGATGCGCGCCTCCTGCATTAGTAAATAAATAGATTCTTTTTATTTATACATGATATACTTAGCTATAAGCTTGTGGGGCCATGTATCCTGCTCCATAAACATTCACTCCTCACTACATTCACATATTCTATGCACACAACTCTCGACTCGCATATTGACATTTTTCGGAGGAAAGATACCGGAAACCAGTTTCGTCTACTGTTAAAACAGCGCGTAACCACAAGAAATTTTTTTACGATTTTTTTCTGCCATTATGTTGCGTCGCAGAATAAGATACTTTTATGCGGGTAATTTAATTGCAAATAATGAGATCCCTACTCAACTGATAAAAACATTGATGAACCAATTACAAATACGTAGGATCTATTAGTTCTAAGAGTATCATATCCTTAAAAATATCAACACTTGTTCAACGCTCACTTTCTAATGGTATTCAACATGGAGGGAATTGATCACGTACATATGCTAATTCGAATTACCAGTTTTTGTGTATTGCTCTGTTGTTTTGACTTCTCGGCAACGTACTCGGGTGGCTTTGGCCTTAAAAACCTTTTAAGGTTAAAAAAAGGGAGCGCGGCACTGATCGAGAAGTAATGTTTGACTACCGTTTCTGACAAAATATCGGTTTTTACCCCTAAGGTAGTATTGGAACATGATCAATATACTACCAATCAACATCTGTCGACGACTAAGTACTTACGTGATTGAGAAATGACACAAAACAAGACCAATACTACAGCAGTGGCACCATTCATCTTGAACAAATTTTCTGAAAAAAGGATGAGAAATGAATAAATAAATAAATAAATGAACTAGTTATAGACTGACTTACTTGTTTTGTCTGTTGATCCAGAGTTCGCAAAATAAGAATATTAAGATCTTAGGGATCGCCTGCTCAGGCATAATGTTTCGATTGCTTAAGGTCTTTTCTTTATTATTATTTCTTTATCCAAAAATAATATTAGTTAATCGAATATAAAATTCGTCTTGGACCTGAACGAAGAATTTCAAACAATACTGGGACACCGATTTGTTTTCTTTAAGTTAGTTCTCTTGTAGAATAAAATGGTAGAAAACTGAGAATAACAACTTTATTTTTTGGGATGATACATGAGTAAGTAAAATCATTGATAAACAAACGGCACTGACAATGAAAATAATTTTTTTGAAGTTTCCTTTATGTTAGAAGACAACTAAAGCAGTTTTATATTATGGCAATAAAAATCCCTTGAATTCCACTGAATCTCGTTCACCTGAACGTCATGCAGTGCAGCACTAATATGATAAATTTTAAGATCTTCTTGATTATTTAATCTGAGATGCTAATCATTTCCTTTAAACCTGAATTATTTTTACGCCCTGATTTTCATATCTTTGCAGTATCGACCTTAGCAACCTTCTTCCCATTCGAAGAAGCATAAAGCGTTGACTATAAGGTTGTACTAGCTTAGCGAGATATCAAAAATAAACAATAAATATATATAAATATATAATATATATGTTCGAATATATAGAAATTAATTGAAAAATAAGGCGAATCCTTTCATAGATTTTGCTTTACCTTAATCGAATCCTTAGTTTCCTAAAATTGTTCAGGTTCTCTTGACTTGATCAATAATTTATGATAAGTTATAGAAGTACCGTTAACTCAGTAACGTACCAGCAAACTCTTTATCCTATTCCGGTAGGATGCTATTTCGTGAAAAAAGAGGTTTCAATGAATATATAAAAAATCCAAATCTCGTTAATTCATAGCATATTCACGTGGAAGTTAAACCTTCGTAACTTTTGATCGCAAACAGCAGAAAACCGTTTCAAAATCGATAAAATTGTTTAATGTTTGTAAACTGGTGCATTCATGGTATTGTTATGAATAAAATATCGTTGGCGCGAACCAAATGACAGCATACTGGTACTCCAGTTTCTTCACTGAAGAATCCATTCAAAGTATACACCTATTTCAAAAAAGGTTGTCATCGCCACTAAGGCGAAAGGCGATAGGTCACTCCTACATGGAAATGGTTTTGTTGAATACAAAGAACGTTGAATCAGTCTCAACACTAAGGTCCATGTTCTTGACGAGAATGAGAAGCAGAAACACAAGTCATTCCAGCTATTCTTTGATCTTGGAATGACCTATCTCCTATTGCCTATCGCGTATTGTCTTTGGCGATGACAACTTTATTTGAAATAGGTGTATATCTTATAGTGGAGGTTCAGTCCCGGACTACTCGGATAATTAATTGAGTTTGGCCTATACCTTTGTGTATTTTCTCTCTTTCTCTCTCTCTCTCTCTATATGCATTATACTATATATTTAGGAAATAGATTCAACTTTAAGGACAGCCCAACGTCAGGAGATTTCGTTTTCTTTGATGCTTGGTGTTCTAGGGTTTATGCAATCTTTAAACTTTAGTATGACCCTGAAGAAGTCTCTGGTCTGATACAAGTCAGGGCATGGCTAACTCACAGATATAATTGGAATTTTAGCATGTTAGGTTTTGTCGAGAGAGCAAAACCTTGCGGAGAACGCGTAGAAAAATCGAAGTGAATCAAGGAAGAGACCTAAGAAACTATGCTCCCAAGAGATGCTAAGACCTGGAGTTCATGAACACGAGACCCCAAGGGTGAGAAGCGAGTGCACTACAGTTACGACCTCACCCTTGATTCTCTGGTGGAAAACTCCTTAGAAATGATATAAATCAAAGGATAAACTCTCGACCAATGACAAAGTACCTAACGTTACTAGACGATCTTCTGGCCATTCTTGTACGCACCTTGCAAGCCGTTTACGAAGATGCAAAATAAAACTATAGCTCAATAATCGTTAAGAAAACAGCCAATGAAATGCTATAAAATTAAGTTATTATTAAAATTCTTCTATGTAGCAGCATTCAACGTGAATGTGCACACACAATCAATGGTAACATTTGGATTTTCACGTGCAGGACCCGATGTACAATAGGTACCGGAATAGCGCTCACCCGACGGATGAATTTTATCCAGAACATAAATTTAATAGATAACATCATCGTCTTCAGTATCCATTGGATAAGGATTTATTCGTCGGATAGCGCTATCAACCTTCATACAACCGGGCTATGTTCGTGAAAGGTTAAAGAAGAGCTGAAAGTCAATCTGAGACAACTATAAGAATATCCAAATTAAGATGCATAAAAGTATGAAAAACTGTTCGTATCGATTTTTCAAAATCGGCCATTGATCAGCAGGTTGCTCGCATGTGAACATGTCATTGAAGCTGTGCAGTTTTGAAATGATTTCTACTGCAGGTGGAAAAATAATGACTTTGAATTTATAAACATGCTTTATATTTCTAGAGTGTTTCGGAAATTTTTCGTGTTAATTCGTACTGTTATAAAATAAAGGAGAATGAATGAATAGAGGGGGGAAAACGCAAGAAACTAAATCGTTTTTTAGATTCAAAATGAAAGACTGGACAAAATTCTAGCTAACGAACAAAATTCCAATTTAATCGGCGAGTGAGTCATGCCCTGACTTTGATCTGCTTGGATGTTCTTTCATGGAATGATTACAAAAACTGAGGAAGGTTTTGAATTTAAAAACAGATCATAAACCATTGTCTCATGTCGTATTATGAATGTTAAAAGTCTCAAGAATTGTGTTTTCCTAATCTACTTCAATGACTTATCTTAAGATCATTAGGTTTATCAATGTGGCAAAGGTTCAATGGTTAAGTAAGCATCGATCATCCGATTCAATTCAATGGAACCTGCGTAAAGCTATCATAATGACAGATAAAGACTGGTAACACTCGAGAAATCTCTAATTCCTTAAAACGATTTGTCTTTCTCGACAAGTTGATCAACATTTTAAAGGAAATTAGGAAAATGGTTAAGAAAATACTTACGTTTTCCCTTTGTTCAAGTTTGAAAAAAATCCTTACCGAGAAACAATCCGTGGGATAAGCTTATTTACTAAATGTCAAATTCAAGAGCGATGACTCACTATGAAGTAATCTTCGGCGAATGCGGGCAAGGGGTAAAACAACTGGCTTGGGAAGCTTCTGCGCATGCGTCACGACAACCTATGACCCCTTACCAAGTGGATGTTCCTTGACCCTTGTGATTAAGGAGTTCTTGGTACCAGGTCACGGTTATTTTGTTGAAATTTTTCTTGACAATGGAATTGCCGACCTGCTTGAAAGGTGTCAGACTGAAATCAGAAATTTTGTTTAAAAAAAAAAACATCCTTACTTTAGCACACACCGATCAAAAAAAAAAAAGAAAAGAAAAAAGAAAGAAAAGAAAGAATGTTCTTTGTCACTAAACAAGAGAGAATATGTTTTCCTTTAAAAGTAATAGAATTAACCACTGGAGGTATTCCTTGCATCGATCAAACTTGAAACTTGACCTGCTCGAAAGGTGTCGATGAAACTGAACACGGAAAATAATTTAAGTTTTTAGCTTTAGGACGCAACGACCATACAAAGAAAGAAAGAAAGAATTCTTTGTCACGAAGCAAGGGAGGAAACGTTCAAAAAGTAATAAAATTAACTGCTGGAGTTATTCCTTGCATTGAAATTGAAAAAAGCCGAATTTTATTATATCAATTCACTGCTGGTATTTTTGAAATGTTTTGAACCCGGTAAACGAATCTTAGCCATCGTTTTTTGTACGTGAACTGATAAAATAATAGAAAAATCTATTAAATATTTGAATCATTTTTAGATAGCCTTTCAGAAAATAGTTACCGCTTCGTTGAGTTTTCTGATTATGCGCGAGTCTAGACAACCACTGGCTTGTTAACTTTTCTATTTACTTAACCAAAGCCCGGCTAAGTTTTTACAACATACAGCTATTATAGACACATGCAGGCTGAGAGAACAGATATATCGATAATATGAGAGAAATTTGATATTTCTGTTGATTGCTCGGTTAGCTTTAGTTTTCTAAATTGGTTGTATATCAAAAAATAGAAAAAAATATTTTGTTTTTAAATATATGAATTTCACCATGAATAGGTATGGCACTGTCTCTCGCAGCTCTCCAGTTCACCATGGAGGCGTGGGTTCGGTTCCCTGCTGAGTTACATATGTAAGTTGATTGTATTGTTCTCTCCCTTGTCACGAGGGTTTTTCTACGGGTTCTCCAATATCCCTCCTCCGTAAAAATCAACATGTGAGTTGAGTGTTTGTAGATAACGAATGTGGGTGTAGAGCGAGCCTCACGGAAGATCTTAT